TGCTGCAGTGCGTAAATAATGTGAGAAGGCGGCAAATGAGGCAATAAATTGTGGGAAAAATTCAGCTGTTGTCATAAATGAGGTGAGAAAATTATCAAACTGTGGGAAAAGTGATTCAATCAAGACTGCGCATGAGGTGACAAATAAAACCAAACTAATTCATGCAGTGGAGATAAAGAGGTGTGTGAGATTATGTTTATCCCGTGGGCTGTGTATAAGCATAACTGAAAGGTGGTTCCATTGATGCGTCCACTGGTGACCTAGGCTGAGATTGTCTGTAGAGTCCATTTCTGAATTTGTATTGTTTGATTTCTGAAAGAATATATGTGAAAATTGTATATAAAGAAGAAAGTTGAAATCTTTACATATCAAATTCTCCCCTGAATTGGGTTACAAGGAATGTTCATCCGGCTCAACATCTCCTGTGAAGCAAAATCACCCAACAATGGAAAAACTTATGGGCTGGGGTCCACCGGTAGGCCCTGCCTGAATATTGGGGCTGGCTGATCCATTCTGTGGTCCAGAATGAGTTGCAGGGCAAATTGGTTCCTTTGGGATGTATTTTTTATCCATAGATCCTTCCGCATCTGGTTCTTCATCAGAGTTGACATTCCTAGTTCCTTTAGAATTCCCGCTAGATCCTTCCACACCTGCATCATCATCAGAGTCATCAATCCTAGAATGTTTGGCCCATGTGTTGTCATTATCTTGAGCCCCCTCTAGTCTGACGTTTTAGAAGCGTTAATTTGGATGCCTCTCTTGTTGCTCATGAATGACCTCTGGAAGCTGGGTCTGGTGTTTGGGTGGGCCTCGTTGCAGTTGTTTATTTGCAGGAGGTGTGGATACCAGTGAGAATGGATTATTCTGAGCAGGTAGCAGATTATGGTAGACCCCGGACATAATTGAAACATATAATTTGTCCTCTTTGGCAGTCAAGAAAGAGATCTCTCCTTTGCTTTTTTTTGGCCAGGGAAATCATCAGGAATGTATGCATAGGCTGGGTTGAGTACATTTGGAAAGCCATTGTCAACAACATATGGTGTGTCAGCCCTTGAGAAATTGGCAAACAAGAGACAAGCGGTGTGGGCAGGGCCAATTGAATTTGGCAAGGCAAAAAAGTCACCCTCCTGATGGAGGTCATGGGTTGGTGTTGCACCATTGAAGTTGGGATGGGGCAGCAAGGACAAATCCAAAGGGGGTTGATCAGTGGGTGTTGCAGTTTGAAAGGAGTGATCAGGAGAAGGAATCCCAGTTGCACCATCTCTGCTCTGATCAGCCACACCAGCACGGGCCAAACCGTCCAGTGAGAAGCGGAGATGCTTGGATTTGTCTCTTCATTTGTCTTCTTCTTCTTCCTCGTCATCTGAATTCTCAATGTCCGCCTTGACCAGAGCCAAGAGGGATTGCAGGTGCACCTGCTCCTTGGGTTTCAACACTGGGTGACTTGCCAGCTCCTGTGCCTTGATGTAAAGGTCCAAACCTATGGGATCAGATAATTCAAAGTGTGTTAGCTGGTGTTGATTGACCAGTGGGCCATATTCAAATGAAAAGCAAATCTTACGTGATTGATCTGTGATGAAATTATGGGCGGTTGTCAGCTGGTCTGAAAAGGTAATGAAACAAATAACTCAGCTTTGACCCAAAATTGCAGGCAAATTGGGTGGTTACATCTAGGGTCTCACTGTTAGGGCCCCCCTTGGGCCTCTCCACATGGCTGGATATCTGGCAAAGGGGGTTAATTTGACCCCTTTGCGGGCCCTCCAGCTCCTCAGGGACCCCCTTGGGCCCCCCTTCAGCCTTCAGGGCAGGATATGTTGCAACCAGGCTGAAGTTGGCCCCTCTTGGGGGATGGAGACCCAAAAAAAAGAAAAAAATGGCCCCATTTGGGGGATGGAGATCCAAAAAAAAAACAAATCCTAATATTTTTTACCCCAGTTCTGTTTTTTTGGCTGCCAGATTGGGTCGGATTGGCTTTAAATCTGGTGTGCATGGGTTCTCCTGCTTCCTGCTTTGAACACGTATCGGGGTGTTTGGGGTCCACACAGGTTGGTCCTTCGGTCCAGCGTGCAATCTGTTGTTGGATCGGTCGATGCTTGGTTGGTCAGTGGTTCTTGGATATGATGAAACTCAGGATTTTCGCCGAGAGAAAGGGGAAGAGACCGGGAGAAGAAGACCTTGAGGAGAAAGCTCTGAGGGAGAAAAAAATGGTCTTGAGGGCCCAAAAAGGGGCTAGAGTCTGCTAGCTTGCGTGACGGAAAAGCGTACATGCTACAAGAGGTGGTATTTGTTATTGACCTCAGGGAAATGGCGCAGAAGACAGATGATTTTTCATTTCTTAACTCCGGAGCATGAATATTTTATCTACATACAGTATGGGCTGAGTTGTGGGACAGAAGGTGAAATTGGATATTCAGCTGGAACTAAAGAGAAGGATAGTGACAGATGGAGAAGAGAGTGACATGACTGTGACAGGAAGAGAAGAAGGAGGAGAGAGAATGGCACGGGGCTTCAGAATTCCAACAGGATAGGTTTGGAGGGAGGTGGTGGTTAAGGGTAAATGCATATACATATGTGTTTAGGACCAAAAATTTGTGGTGTTCAGGCCTGCACGCCAACTGCATTTCTACACTCTGCAGATTGGTGTGCAGACCTGCACACCAATCTGTGGGTGTGTGGGTGTACAGACCAAACTATGGCTGGTGTGCAGTTTGGCACCTTGCCATTATCATTCCCTGGTTGAGGGATATAACCACAAATGAAACCTTCTCATGTCACTTGTTTGTTGACACTCAGAGCACAACCACTAGGTTAGTAGCATAAAGACTGACAATGGGGGGTCTGGCCCCTTCTCATCCCAAGAGCGTATGTGTATTCTGGCTGAACTACATCCCTCAAGGAT